GCACACGCTCAGAACAGTGGCATCTTGAAACGGCTAAAAACCTTGCCAAGTAGCTCTCCAAGGAGAACCACTGAAGTAATAATCCACTCCGTGGACGTTAACATGCTCAGCAGATAAGTCAAAACAGCTAGAACAGCTGCAGAGAGCAAAATTATGCGTCCACATAGCCGGTAATTCGGCGCAGGCTAGGAAGCTAAAAATTCTCAAGCACTGCTTCTGAACACTTATGAAACAGAATATTCATTTCTCTCTCTCCCTCTGTACAGCCTTAGATAGAAAATCAAACTAATGACTGCACAGTGCTGAATACACGAAATAATGCCAGTTTAATTCACTAAAGGATCCAGCGTGGGTTAAAGTATAGGGCAGTATTAAAATTCCTGATTATACGTCTAAAATTTTTGGAGTGCACAATCAATCCAAATATCATCAAACCCATCATAAGTAAGCGATTTTTTTGAATTAGTTTAGACACAGATTCTTGTTTTTGTGTTGAACAATTTTACGGAAGATACTTGTTGCCAAATAAATTGAAAGTGACCACCACATAGTTACAAATTATCACAAGGGTTCCCAACAAGCACGAGCGCATCCCGCGCACAGAAAATTTCAGCACTTTAACTGCTGCGGAGTTTCATGCGTTTTCACGTGAGATCCACGTATGCCAGTGAAAGTTGTTCCCACGCTCGCTTGCACAAACACGATCGTCCTGAGCTGACATTCGGATGTTCTGAGCTTACATTCGGATCAAAATTTTCCCGAAATTCCAAATAGATCAGTCGAAAGGCCACTACTGAAACATGCATAAAACACATCCTTTTAGCGGACTGTTTCCTACCGGCATGTGACTTTGCATATTTAAATTTGAGCTAGGAACCTGAAATTTTAGGGCAACGTCTTTTGCCCATGTGCAGCTTCGCGAAATTAAATTCAACTTCCAGGCACAATCAGATCTCAGAGTTGTGGCGACAAAATTACTAAGGAAACAAAAAAGCTAGAAAGCAATATTTCAAGCTCATGTGCGGCCCCAAAAATTTAAATTTTGCTTCTACTTATATTTACGTCTCATGTACGGACACTTGAGAGTTTTGTGCGAAATTTCTGCCTTGAGAACCGGCAAGATGTAAAGCTGAAAATTTAGTATAATGCTTCCTCTAAATATAGAATCTTCAGATTTCAAATTCACTCTTCATGTAGTCTTATTTCTCAAGTACGGGCACATGAAATTTTACGTGGAAATTTTTAGTTCAGGAACTAGACAAAACAGAAATAGAACTATAGGAGGATATTTTCTGTTCGTGTGTGAACCTACAAATTTAAACACAGCTCTTATAAGCGCTTGCGTTTCATGCATGAGCACATGGAATTTCACACTTCTGTGCAAACATATCTGTAAAGTAGTGAACATTACTAATAGCAACTGTGCGCTGAGCAGAACTGCTAAAAACTTATAATCGTATCGACTGCCCTGATCATTTCGACGTTAATGCCGACATTTCACTGAGCCATTTTATGCGTTTTTTGCAGCTATGCAATGCAGAAAACGCATATTGACGAGGGGTTGTCTGTGTGT